GGGATGCGGCAAACGCCGCCCCTGCCGCCTGCCCGCAAACCTCAGACGCGCCTTTCCCGGAGCCTCTGAACTTCTGGAAATCCGGAGACCGCGTCGGCGGTTTTGTTTTTGCGTCGTCTTCTACTGGGCTTTGGCTTTGGGATTTCTCTGGCTGCCTGGATACGCCTTTTCCTCTGTGGGTAAGTCTCCACTGGATCGCAGCACCGGTAACCGACCCCGGGAGCGCCAGCTTTTGAAATCCCCAGCCTGGAGTCGCCTGGGCTTGGAGCAGAGGACCCAACTCCTGACCAAGTAAGGGCGCTCAGATTCCACCTTTCCTCTGATGCGCCGAAATATAATCTCATGGCAGAATTTTCTTTAAGCACATTGTCTGATAGGATTGGCAATTACTAACGAGGAAAATGAGTAGCAATTAGGAGTTCAGAAATAAATGGAAGTCCATTGTCCTAATTGAGTGGAATTACTGACGGATAATAGCAACACTGAATTCTTCAGTTTAATTAAGAGTTTATATAATTATAATGCACTTCTTATTTCTTGGGGGAGCCATGGGGTTGGAATTAACCAGTGCAATGGTTAAGAAATCCATTTAATGATAAGTAACCAGTGGGTGGAAATAAATGTGGGTGCCTTGCTCAAGTAATGTGAACTTAGATGAATTCCTGATAAAGGGATGTGCCAGCTTGGGCCAAGAAGGACTTTCTTTTAGATGCTAATTCCGGCCTGATACAAATCTAAAGTGTTTACAGATTGTTAGGTAATTTCGGATGCTGGCATCTGGCTGTACCAAAAACAGCCAAGCTTGGTGCCCCCCTGCAGTGGGATCAGCCCTGATCGGTCCTTTCTGTAACTGCCCTTCCCTCATTTCCCCAAGAATGAAATGAGTGGGTCATTTGAGAGTGTTTTGCCGTCTGGGGTTTCTGTATCAGAAATCTCATGATTGAGCTGTAAATGTTGTAAATGCTGTAAATGTTGATAGCTGAAGCGGCTGAGAGAGAGTCATTGAAGTTATGCAGCCTCCAAGCAGAGCGAGTGTGTAGGTGTGGAATTTGTTGGAGGACTAATCTGTAATTATAAAGATGTTATTTTCCTCTTTGGTGGTGTATTGTTTCCTGTACTATTATGTTCCCGTGAAATTGTTCCCCTTGTGGGAAGCAGTGAAACTGGAGAGAAATCCCTTCTCAGAGGATAATTTTCTTATATTTTTGGTGTAGGTTCCTGGGAATCCTTTTAACCCCGCATTGGGATTCGTGTGTTTATTTCTGTAAGAAGCTCCAGCAGATTTGGAAATCACTAGGTTTCAAGTATACTGGTAAATAATGAGCACTTCAAATAACAACATTTATTTGTATCTTGACTCCTTTGTCTGGCTCACACAAGGTCTAGATTTTTCAATGGGACGAGCAGGGACTATCTCCTATGGAGAATTTCCAAATCAAAAAGTGGGCTCAGGGAGCGCCATTAAAGTTGCATTTTACTCCAGAAGGGACAGCAAGTGGCAGGGATGAAGCAGTGCATCTTTAATATTTCATGGGTTTTAAAGATGGCAGAGCACTTTGGAAACTTATTCATGATTCCCCGTCGTTAATCAGAGAAAGCAGATATGGAGGGAGTTTGCTGTATGTGTGCCTCTCGGCCTCAGCCCTTCCAGGTGCTTTGCAGGTAGGTACCTGGGGACAGCAGGGAGGTGACTTGAGGTTATGCCAGTGTTACTATTCAGAATTTTAAGGACTTACCTGCTCTGGCTTTTCTTTTGTCCCCAGCCCTGTTTTGTCATCACTGCTATGAAAATCTAACAAAACTGTTGAAAACACCTGCCCTGTATCCTTCCAGAACTGTGGCTTCTTAATGCAGGCTTGCCTTATTGGTTCGCTGCTCCTTTTTTTGGTGTTCTGCTCAAGGCACAAGCAGTGCCTTTTATTTTTCATGAAATTATACAACAGGCCAATTCTTAAACACACACGTGGGTGGAAATGTGACACTGGTAACATTCAAAAATGACAAATCGCCAAGTTTCATAATTTTTCAAAAGACAATTATGAAAGATGACAACTTCATCTTGTCCCCTTTCCCTAAACATTCACAGATCCTTCACACACCTGCCCGTTCATGGTTAGACTAGCCAGACAGTGTAAGAAAGAGTCAAGGATGGCCATCCTCTCAGAACTGCTACCCCAGGATTCTCTTTCTGACCAGTGGGTGTTTGGTGCCCACTGGCATGAAAATTTCCTAAGAAAGAGTCAAGGATGGCCATCCTCTCAGAACTACCCCAGGATTCTCTTTCTGACCAGTGGGTATTTGGTGCCCACTGGCATGAAAATTTCCTTCTGTGAGAACATCTTTAAGATTGGGTTCCAAATTCCCCCCCCCCTTTTTTTTTTATCTGCTCTGAGACTGACACCCATGTACTTATGTAAAATCATCCTGAAAAGACAGAAAAACTGAGAGGTTATGGGGCTCCCGGCAAATTAGGAACAGATTCAAGTCAAAAACATTCCAAACTCTTAATCAAATGATGCAGCTTGGACACAAGAAGCAAACTGGCCTGTAGGCTCCTAGAATACACTGTCAGAGGGCAAAGCACTGGGAGAGTTAGCAGTCACAATCTTTGTCTCTACCTTTCTTCATCTTCCTTCCCACTCAGTCTCGGGTACCTTGAAGAGGTAGTGGGTGTCAGTCACCACCTGTTTGCTGGTTGCACAATGCAGATTACTCACTTCTGCCCAAGTAACACCCTGAAGCCATACTGTAACAATAGAGCATTGAAGAAAATAACACTCAAGTTGGTCTTGGCCCCTGTCCAAGGGGATTAGCTACTTAGAAGTGCCTGAAAGGCCTTGTTGAAACATACTCACCTATAACCCAGTTTCTTGGCCTGGATCTCAAGGACAGGGTAGTGTTGGTGCCCTTCTGTGACCTATAAAATTCAACATCTATCTCGATTTACACTTGGCCTCATGATGGCTCATAGAAGTCTTCCCATCATGAACTCAGAAGAGTACTTCAAGGTCAAGGAGGCCCTCGCTACTCAAAGTGTGGACCGTGGATCACCAATATCAGCATTACCTAGGATCTTGTTAGCAGTGCTGAACCTCAGATCTGTCCCCTGATTTTTTGAATTAGAATCTGTATTTTACCAAGATCTCCAGACGATTTGTTTGCTTTGTGACTGGTTTGGTTCTCTCGTGATGCAGACTCTGTGATAGAGTTTAGCAAGCAGAATATTTATTCAGGAGTGCCCTTAGGATCAGCACCTGTGGCAGGGAGGAGGAAGGTACACAGAGGGAGAAGTCAGCCTGTAATACAGGCCCTGGGACAGGCTGGACTAACCACGTGAGGTGCCCCGGAGCTAGACTGGCCTCATGTTGGGCAGTGGTGGTCAGGCCTTCATAAGGCCTGCTGACAGTATTCCTAACAGCTGGGCAACACGTCCTTCACTCGAGTTGGGAGAAGCACTGCTGTAGGTCATGGCTCTAGACCAGCAGTACCTTCAGCACAGGGTCCTGGTAGAGGCGCACGTTCCTGAGCCCGCCCCAGACCTGCTGAAATAAAAGCTGTAGGAGTGGCTCCCAGAACCTCATGTTTAAACAAGTTCTCCAGGTGACAGTTCAAATCTGACTGAGAACCACTGCTCTAAGGCAGTGGTTTTTTTTGGTCGTTTGTTTTATTGTTTAATAACAGCTTTATTGAGATATGATTCACATTCTATATATAATAACATTCACCGTTTTAAAGTATACAAGTCACTAGTTTTTAGTGTATTCACAAGGTTGTGCAACCATCTCCACTAATCCTAGAACATTTTCATCACCTCCAAAATAAACCCTATGCCCATTATCAGTCACTTTTTACAGCCAAATCTGACAACCACTATTCTACTTTTTCTCTCTGTGGATTTGTCTGTACTGGACATTTCATAGAAATAGAACCATACAATATGTGACCCTTTGTGTCTCTTTTCTTTCGCTTAGGGTAGTGTTTTTTGAGGTTCCTCCATGTCGTAGCATGTATCAGTAATTCATCTTTTTAAATAGATAAATAATGTTGCATTGTATGGATATGCCATGTTTTATTTATCAGTTGATGAATATTTGAGTTGTTTCTACTTTTTTACTCTTCTGAATAATGCTACGATGAACATTCATGCATAAGCTTTTATGCGGACCTATTTTTTCAATTCTATTAGTAGAATTGCTGAGTTGTTCTGGTAACTCTATGTTTAGCTTTTTGGGGGAACTTCCGGACTGTTTTCCAAAGTAGCTGTACTATTTTACATTTCTACCAGCCATGTATCAGGGTTCTAATTTCTCTATAGCCTCTCTAACATTTGTAATTTGTCATTTTATTATATCTATCCTAGTAGGTATGAAGTTATATCTCATTGTGGTTTTCATTTGCATTTTCTTGTTAACCAGTGACATTGAGCATCTTTTCAGGTTCTCATGGGCTATTTGTGGTGTGTCCACTTTGGAGAAATGTTTGTTCAGATCCTTTGTGGGGCAGCCTTTTACTTCTTAAGGAAGCCCTCAGGATGTCTAGTGTGTGTCTAGTGCAGTTGCTTTAGGATCTATGAAAGAAAGCCCAGGACATGGGCTTTACCCACTGGAAGTTCTACTTAGGTGTGGAACAGTGAAAGAAAAAGACAAGAGAGCCCACTGTAAAGGGCCAGCCTGCTGTCATTCTTGTCACCGAAAGACATTATGTGGGTTGCTAGGAGAGAGTGTGAGCTCGGGTTGTGGGAAGTTTTATGGAGGTTGGAGACTGCACTGTTGAGAGGAAGGGAAGCCAGGAAGCTCTTAGTGAGCCTTCCACATGCCACTCCTGTTTTATAGGTTATCCACCCTGTAAGAGGGGGGCCTCAAAATCCCAGGACTTCTTTCAAGATCATACTGCCTACCAGCCTAGAAAGGTGAGGCAATTCTTCTATTTCCTTATCTGGGAAAAGACTACTTACCTCCCTTATTTATCAGTGGTTGTAAAGATCGGTTATAATACTCTGTGAGTAAGTGTTATCGCAGGTGAGAAAAGAGTTTGCAGGTGTCCCTAAGTAGTCTCTAATTCCCTATTAGCAGATCTCACAGTGATAGTGTCAGGTCTCCCAATCCCCCAGGACAGGCACCTCTCTCAAGGTCTCTGAGACTATAAGGTGAGACCTTGGGGCTTCCAGTCAGCTTCTCTT